AAAAAAAAAAATTTCTTTATATTTGTTAAAAACCTTCGTTTTTTTTATTTTTTTTTCTTTTTTTCTTTTACCATATTTTTTTTTTTTTAAAAAATAAAAAAAAAAAAAAAAAAAAAAAAAAAAAAATAAAAAGAAAAGAAAACAACATGTATATCTATAATCGGTAGTTCAATAAGCGTATTAAAACATGTGAGACATTATCTAATTATAAAAAACAAACTTTATTCATGTTGAGTACTTTTAACTTTGAAAGAAAATGTTTATATTAACTATTTCGTTTTTTAGGAAAGAATAAAATTCTCAAAATGTATTTTCATTTTTTATTACAAAAAGTATATTTAAATGATAAATCGTACTCACTTATTTTAGATATTATTTGCGAGAAAATATTATTGAAATAAAATTTTATATACCTATTTTTAACTACATAACTCCGTTTTATAACAGTTGAAAAAATGAATAAACTAAAATTCTCGAAAATTCAAGTAATTGTTTATAATATAGACATAATGATGTCTGATAATAGAATATTAATCTTTACCTTCATACTACTAGCTCGTTATTTACCATCAATGAACTAAATCTAAAACACTTATATACTAAGTATACTTAAGTTATCCTGATATCAAATAATTGGTAAAAGTAAACGTGTCTACTCCTCTTATATTACATATTTTTCTTCTCTTATCAATTCATGGAAGTATTAACACATATTTAGTTATAAGAGGGCAGTATTAATGTTCTATATAGATAAATGTAAGATAAAACGAATATAAAATTTGATGTTGACCGATAAATGAATGAATTAAAGACGCTCTAATTGTAGGATAGTTAAGAGATTTATTTTTGAATTTCATATTAAAGAGATAGTATAGAAAATGTTCGCAATAAATGAGTGCCTTTCAATTATGAAATTATTTTTTACTTTTATAGCTAAGTGTTAGTTTTTTTAGTTTTTGATCCATTAGTAAAATAAGTCGGTTGGCAAAAATGAGCAAAAATACTGTAAAAAAATTAATATGAATGAGAATAATTTATTACATACATAATTTTTAAAAATTACTTTATGTTTTAATATATAACTTAAATATAAAATTATCCATCTTTTAAAGATAGAGAATACCTACCTAAAATATTAAATGACCATAAAATAAAGCTTGTTAAGGAAGAGAAAGAGGAAAAAAACATAAAACTCAAAACCTTGATATAAAACAAATTTTCTTTTTTGAGGTCTTTGAGAACACTCCAGTCTTGTTGAAGTTTGGAGTATTTAGCCTGTTTTTTAAGTGACTATTTAACGTATACTCACTTAGATAAAATTAGATAAAACTAGACACGAATCATTGAAAATGAGTCGGTATTCTAAACTAATGGTAGTTGTATACAATTTTATTATTTGAATTGAATAAAATATGTTCAACTATGAAATCTGATGTTAATATATAGAGAAAAATCGTTTTTCTTGATCAATGATTTTTTGTTGTTGTTTTTTACTTTAACACATTTCTTATCACGAGAAGAATATTTTGCGTGTTAAATCGAAGTGATATGATAGAAATAGATTGCATGATGTGTTAATTACCGTCAAATTAGAGATAGAGAGGGTGAAAGTGCAATTGCAACAAATTAGTTCATAATTTAAATAAACTTGACATAGACTTTATTCTGCAAGCAGAAAAAATTCATTATAACATTATTATATTAAAGGATAAAATAAAAACAAAAACGAAAATGAACATTGAAAATATTGAATCGAATGTCAATTATTGTATTGACGAGAAATAGTAAAGTTAGTTTGATAATAAGTTCATATTAGAATATTGAAAATTTTCATTTAAAGTTAATTTAAAATATTATGACAAAAGTTATCTGACTTATATTCGAACAGAATAAAACTTCTATCAATCGCATCACATAGTCTGTCCGTGTATATAGAACATTTGAATATCTTATCTTTTTTTTATCACATTTAAACTTCTAAAGATGACAAAGACAAAAACATAAGTGAATATATATGCGATACGTTGTTTGTTAGAAAATGAAGGACAAAATATTTTTCGGAATAATACCATCGTTTCTAGAATGTTTAGAATTAACTGAAAAACAAAATCATATGACGCATACCAAAATAATTACACTTCTCATTAATCTGAAAGTAACAGCATTTACATCCATTCGACAGAAATGCTATTCTTCAATAATCACAATCGAATCTCTTCTAATAAAACTGAAGCAAAAAAAAAAAAAAAAAAAAGAGAAAAAGAAAAGAACATTAAATAAAACTAATTAAAATATACACTCAAGAAAAAACTATCATAGAATACCATGTGAAATTGACTATATTTTTCAACAATATATAGTTGGATGTGTAAAGATTCTTTATTATAATGTATGTTACAATCAATAACAAGGATTGTTCAATGTAATCAATTTTAATTGCAAATCATTTTTTGAACTGTTCTATAACACACTTCACATATAACATTTACAGTTAACCAAGAAAATCGACAATGACATTCGTATTTTTCTTTAATATTATGAAAATCATAATCACCATTATTACAACACATTGTTGAACATATCGATTCAGAATAACATTCTCGTCCTTTGGTACCTTTATAATCGAATATGAATTGTGGATGACAATAGTCAAACGAATGATGATAATAATATAAATTTAATATTGAATTATCAAGTAGATTTTTAAAATTTGTTGTTAGACGTGTAGCATTTTCATAATAACCATATAATAATTCACCAATTTCCGTTACTGTGGGTGTATGAGTTGAACATGTTTCTATCTCACACGAACCACTCATACCGTGCTAAAAGAATAAATAATTATAAATTAAAAAAATAATTAATTAAGTATAATATTTATATAATACTTACACAACGACAATCTTTTCGTATTAATTTTTTCACAATCTACGGAAAGAAAACGATAAATAAATAATATGACTATACGACGCAATCAGCTAACTCTGCTACCATAAAGGAATTCCGTAACGTTTTTAAATGCGGTGCGAAGAGAAACCACATCCTAGTAATAAACTGAGTCTTCTTTATTCGACAAAAAAAGTGTGATTTTCTATAACGGTTATCTCGAAAACTATAAGTGGTACTTCAAAAACTTTAAATGCTTGTAGAGAGAGTGGAGTGGCTGAACGGTGTCTTTTCTCCTTTTGAGACTGTTTGTCTATTTCGTTGCTATAATTTATACCTCCAAAGTAGATCTTTTGAACGTTTAGGACTTATAATTTTTTTTCAAAAAACACGATAATTAATCAGAGTCATACATGTACACGCGCCTTTATACCAGAGTACGTTCGTCTACCGTGTGATTCGTTTTATGATCGTTTTCTATATCTGTTCAATAAGTGATTATTGTAACTCTAGCCTCCAAATGCATTCTTGTGTTACAGATAATTAATGCTGAATATAATTTTCTCAAAACAAAAACAATTATTCTTTTATGTGACTAACCTACACTTTAGTCTTTCCTGCGAACAATACTGTACACAATTTAACAAAAGAACTGAGTTTTCTGTTGCTGTATCCTTCATTCTCTTGTTCTTGCTTCGTACTGCATTCGCAACTTTCGCTAGTGTGATTGCGGCCTAGTTCAGCTTTTGTTTTGTTTATAAATCGTAAACCAAACGACGCAGACAGCTGCAATACGTCTTAAATTGAAAAAAAGACTACTGTGAACATTTAAACGCGTCTCAGCTCTGTAACATGTCTTGTTTTAAAGATCTGATAGAAATATTAGCAACTGCTTTTCGATTCTGCAAAGGTTCAAGTGTGACAAGTAGTTGCTAATATTTCTATCAGCTCTTTAAAACGACGAAAGGGCATGAAGCGCGTGTACATGAAACGAATTTTGTCGCTTTAAACGTTTCAAAATGTGAATGGATGTTGTTTGCTACTGTATTTAACGTATGTCCAACAATGTCTTTAAAGATGAATGATCATATAATTCCGTGTGCTGTTTTTCTTAAACTTCTTGGCGTTAGATTGACGCATGATCTATCGTGGAAATGTCATATCGACAATATAGCTTCAAATTGTCGAAAAATGCTTGGCTCCATTTCTCGTGTCTTCCGCGATTCTCCTAATTCTCTTCGTCTTCATCTTTATAAAACCTGCGTACGTCCAACTTTGGAGTACTGCTGCATTCTATATGATACGTCTTACATTTCTCATCTCTCTGTGTTAGATAACGTACAAAAGTTGGCTTGTAGAATAATCCTTAGAGATTATG